ATAAAACTGCTTTCTACAATGTAGAAATTGCCAAACAAGGAACATCCCCCGTCAGCAAGAAGCCCTCTTTCCTCATCAAAGTGGGGTGAAGTTTCGCTGGTTGTGGACATTTTCCTGCTCGATCACTCCCGGAGAGGCCGGGGGCGGGAGATCAGACACCTCCCCCCTGAACGCACCAAGGGGTGGCAGGAAGCCACCGGAGAGCCCGGGAGAAGACAAGCGGGCTGAAGCGAGATGAAGTGAGATGAATGGAGGCTCCTGAAGGAAGCTCGCAGCACTGCTGGGGGACGTGGAGACGTTTGCGTTAGTCTGCAGAAACAAGAAGTAAAATATGTTTTATTGTTGGCCTCGTGTCCCACCTGCCACAAGTTGGAGTCACACAATGACCTGGTCCAAGTACGGCAAGCCCTTTGAGTATTTATTCAATATCAGTTGGCTCAAAAGTCATTTTTACTCACTAGTTCACAACAACTTTGCTCTAGTAGCACTAGTTCAGCGAATACTCTTCCTGTCAACACCAGCTGCTGGTGACAACCAAGTATGGTTTTAGTCCTCCTTGATAACTAGTCAATATTTGAGGAGTACTTGTTGACTGGTTGAGAGTTTTACACACACACTAGCTTTGCCAAAAAATAGCTTTGACTAAAATATTTGTAGCTACTAGTCAACTTGTCAACATTTAAAGCTCACTAATTGACCAAATACCAGTTGTAGACACACAAATAACTAGAGAGGGAAAATGACAGACTACTAGTCAAGTAGAGCCGTTAGTCTCATTAGTTGGCTACTGTAATAACATTGTTTTTACTGGTTAACCATCAAAGTTTTTAGGTGCACAAGTTAACACATTTTTGGCACGCTAGTTAACTAGTGTTGCTACTAGTCGTCTAACGGTTTACTAAAGTGTTTAGTAGTAGAAGCAGCAAACAAATGCTCACTAATCAATTTGTTCATTTTTTAACTTTACTTGTTAACTAGTAAAGTCTAGTTTAGTTACTAATTAACTAGTAAAGTCAAAAACATTTTAACAGGTCAACTAGTAAAACATTTAGTTGCTTTTGTGAACTAGTTTGCAGTCCTTAGTAAATCCTGTCTGTGTTGTCATCTAAACTAGTTGACTAGTTTAGTCATTCCTAGTTATGTTTTATGGTCAGTTTTGATGACTAGTGAGCTTATTTGATAGTTACTTGTTAACTAAATTACCTTTTTTGGCACATTTGTAAACTATAAGTCAAAATTTTTTGTTGTTGATAGGTGATCCTTTTGGGCAACTAGTTAACTTGTTATTCAGAGTGCATTATTCGATTAGGTAACATTTTTAGAAACACAAATTAAGAAAGTAGGTCAAAATTACTCACACTACTTAACTAGCGTGGAAATATTTGTCCTTGGTAGTTGACTAGCAAACACTTTAGGTGCAATAGTTGACATATTTTTGACCACATTAGTTAACTAGTGAAGTAAAACACCTTTAACTGGTCAATTAATAATGATTTCTGGGCTACTAGTCAACTAGTAAACATTTTAAGTGCATTAGTCAACTAATTGTCAGTTTTGTAACCATTAATTCAGTTGTCAACTTAACTAGTTGACTAGTTTTTTACATTTTATGGTCATTTTATTTCACTAGTACACCCATTTGATAATTACTTGTCAACTAGTTGACATTTATTTGCACATTTGTTAGCCAAAAGTATCTTTACTTTGTTTATTTTTTATCATTTTGTAACCACTAGTCAACATTTTACGTATACTAGACAGCTAGTTCATATTTTTAAGACGCATCAGTAAACAAAGTCAGATTAGAAATGTATCAGGTAATCGACAAGGAAGCATTTTTGTGTTTCCTTGTCAACTAGTCAATTATTTAGGTTGTACTACTCAACTAGTGCACACATAGTTAACTAATGGGCATAATTTGTATTGATTAGTTAACATGTAAATATTTGTATGGTTACTAGTTAACTCGTACAATACAAGCTGAACTGGTAAGCGTGTTGACTAGTGTGTTTAAATGCCAACTATTTGGTACGTTTAGGCTATGGTGGTGCAAAATTGTTGACTAGTATAACTTCAGCTCTACCTAGTTAGACAACAGTCACACTAGTTAGCCACAAAGTGTAACTAGTTAGGGTAATTTTGAATCAGAACACCAAAATGTTGAACTAGTTTCAGCAAACCAATGCATTGTAATCACAAACTAGTGGGCCTAAAGGACACTTCATATGAAGGGCGTTGAATAATGACACTAACGGCTTGCCGTACACACAATCAGAGCGTCCACTCCATAAAGGCCTGCATGCTGCCTCTCTGACAACAGGTTCAGTGCACCGTTGATGATGAACACTTGTGACTCACAAGGCTTATTTTTAATTAGCAACACGGTCATTAAAACGTGTTAATTGTACGCATTCTGTGTCAAAGTCAGCTAAGGACAATGCTTGATGGAAGCTCTGGTTTAGTGGCTCCAGTAATGCAGCGTGACCCCGAGTAATTTCAATATGATAATTGGAAGAGGCCCTTTTACCCCCACATCACATCACACACACATAAAATTTGGCAGATGAGGAAGTGATACAGCTCCCCCTCTTGGAGAGATTTCAGCAGGGATTAGTGAGCTCTCATCAAAGGGAACATTGGTATTACTGACAAACATTTCTGCTGCAGGAGAAGACCGTTTACTTTAGGGAAGGAACTGAAACTCACCGGTGTTTCCAGAAAGGTGTGCCTCACAAACATCTTTATTATTCAGTGCAACGTGGAAAATGGATGGCGCTAAACAGAAAAAAGGGCAGCCTTCTTTTAGTCACTCAAACCTAGACCTGTCGCGATACACAATAAATCAATTAATCGCACGATAAATGAAAATTATCGACCTCATTTTCATTTATCGGCTTTATCGTTTTTTGGTGTCTCTCTCTTTCTACTGAAGACACTGGATGAGAAAAGGCTCAACTCCGGTGCTCTTCACTGACCCCTCCCTTTCGCTTTAAAATCTGTGTTAACGATCCAAAATCGTGTTTTTGGATCGTTAAAAGCAGCTAAGCTACGAGCTAAGCCAACAGGCCAACTTCGGGGAAAAAAAACCTCCGTCTTGACAAAGCTCCAAAAATTCACGGTTGAAACCTGTGCCTTCGTCTAAAAAGTTGATTTTCTCTGCAAAAAGAAGCTGAGAACTTGTTTACTGATTTCATTTATAAGATTCGTGTGAAAAATAATACGCTAAAGAGCTCAAACCACACCAAGCGTCCGCCATTTTGAGCGCTGAAGAGAGACAGCCCATGTCACGTCAAGGGACCTCCCTCCCATTTTTCTTAGAGACACGCTGCTCGCTCCCTCACTATCCATCCTTCGGTTCAAACAGTCTTATACTGCCATCCAGTGGTCCAAATAGGTACTACACACAAAAATTAACCAACATTTTTTCTTAAATTTGACAATAATTACTAATTATTGTCAAATTTCAAACAATATTATTGTTAATCGCAATAATTTCAGAGATAATTTAATTACCCAGCAAAATTTGTTATCGTGACAGGCCTAATCAAAGCCGCTGTGGAGAAAATCAATTTACAGTCCTGCCATGAATATTTTTACTTTGAACACGAAGGTTTAAATCAGAATTCAGATCCTATTCTGTGGTTATGATAAATAATATCTTACCTCTTGTAGATGGTTGCTTAAACTACCTCAGTTTGGAGAATTAATACTGAATTCTGTTTGGTACGATGAGCTAATGGCTAGTCCTTGCAAGACTATACCATTGTGGATTGTTACAAATCCAGCCTTGAAAAATCAACAGCCTGATGTCAAAGTTCATGCTCAGTAATCCAAGTAAAAAATCCAACAAAGTTCAGTCAGGTCATCTGGATGTTTCCTTTTTTTTTGTTGAGACGTTTTGTCCTTCATCCAAAGTACTTCATCAATCCGAGGAGCCGCAAATAAACTCAAAGGTGTCGACGGGGGAGAGGGTGGGCCCCAGTATCTTATCCCCAACAAACTGGTTGGTATGCGAGTGTGCTGTTTGCGGGACTAAGTTTGTTTGTGGCTCCTCGGATTGACGAAGTCCTTTGGATGAAGGATGAAACGTCTCAACAAAAAAAGAAACCGTCCAGATGACCTGACTGAACTTTATTGGATAATAGCCTAATGGTTCATGCGAGTGCTTTTTTAAATAAACAGTATTTTTTTATTTACATTTATTTTCATAAAACGCAAAAGTGCAAATAGTGGCGACAACAGCTAGCTGTAGCGCTTCTGCCGGTGCAGCTTGGGGATCAGAACTTCTCTGCCTAAATAACTGCCTAAACGCATATTGATGCAGCGTAACGGCTCATCCATCCATTATCTTTTACCCGCTTCTTCCATTTTGGGTCACGGGGGTAACGGCTCTTTTTTTTTTTTAAATTACAAAAAAGGTCCACACCAAGACTGTTCATAAACTTTCTACTGAACCTCACTTTAAAATATTTGAACTATCACTTTAAACCTATTTTCTTTATGTTTTCTGTCTGTAAAGCCTAGCCGTCATGGCTTCTGCAGTAATATATGAAAGCTGTTAAAGTCACAACGGATCAGCAACAAGAGGATGAAAAGCCTGGACAAATGTATTCATAGCTGCACGAAACCCAAAGGCGCTACAGTGACTGTTCCAGTGTCGCGCCAGCCTCACGTGCACTCGGTACAGTCCAGAAGTTTACCCTGAGGGCGGAAACTGTGGAACGGCTGTCGCCATTTTGGCTCAACTTAAAACCCAGTCACCGCTGCCTTCACTGACCCAAACGACTATTAGGAAGAGTTGACATTAAAGGCTGGAAATTAACCCAAACATTAGGTATATGACGTAATTTGATAATATTATTAAAGTAATTATTACCTTATTGGATTCAACTCATAAGAATTTAATTTAAAGCGAAAAAAAGCACTATTTTTTAATTAGTGTATTTGGACTTTGGAAGTTACGTGAAGACCGTGAAGTCAGCGGCACCGCCATCACTGCGAGCTGTTGATTAGAAACATGACGGCTTGTTTGGTTCGAAGGTTAGCTGCTCTGTCCGGAGCTTCCGCCGTGGGGCTGGGAGCTTACGGAGCTCACGGTAAGGAAAGAGTTTTATTTAAATGATGCAAAGTCTCCCCGTTCATCCGAGAAGTAAACCAGAGTCAAGAAACACCGATTTTTTTTTTTTTTTAGTTGTCCGTTCCAGCCTCCGAAGACAAAACATGGAAATTTATGTTTCGCTTCTTTTTAGCCCAGCTAAAACGTAAAAATTAAAACTTTATGCTTTATCAAATGTATATTGGTGTAATACATAATTCGGCGTCATAGTGGTGTACCTAACCTCGCTTTATTTTAGTTAAATTAACTATTTCGTAATCAAGGTGACTCGCCCCCTGTCAAAACAGCCTAAACTAAAGTGATTCTTGAAAAAAATGTTGCTAAAATTATAAATCCATGATCTCTTTTATATGCAGTTTGTGTATGTTTAATTTCTAATCCATATGTTTCGTTTCAGGCTTCAAGAACAAGGACCCGGATGACTACAGGATTGCGGTACTTTCAAAATAAAACACTTGAATATCTGTTTCAATGTCCTGATCACTTTCAAAATAAAACACTTGAATATCTGTTTCAATGTCCTGATCAGACTCAAGTAAATAAAAATAAAAAGTTTAGTTAAATGCTCAAGTTTTTTTATTTTGCTTACTTTTCTGTTTGTATGGACATTTCTTAACAAACATCTAGAATTATTTTTTTTATCTGATCTGACACATTTAAGTGTTTGTTCCGAGATCATGGACAAATTAAAAGTGCTATTTGCCCTTTTCTTTATTATTAGCTAGTGGCTCATTAATTATCCATGCAAACATAATTAGCATCTAATAGCAGGCGCCCTTTTTTGCCCTTTATGTGTTGTTCAGAAGACAGAACCCTTCTGAGATGTGTCTATCTGATTTTACAGCTTTATGAAACAGCCAACAAGTACCATTTCTACCACAGCCTGGCCCTGCTGGGGGCTGCCCACTGTGGGAAACCTCTGCTGGTGAGTTTGGAGCTTACACTTGGTTTAAATGATAATATGGATTAGACGTTTTCTACCAAAACAAAGCCTTTTTAACGTTAAAGATGACAAAACTAGCAGAAACCTAAAATTACTACGACTACAACTAAAAATTTAAAGTACTAAGTTAAATTAGTAAGGCGGTAGCTAAAAGTTTAAGCTAG